CCCTGGTCTGGCCAAAGGATGGGCTCCCCTGGAGTGGGAAGCAAGCTTGAAGACAAGGAGATGCATATTTGCTCTTTCAGCAAATTGCATCTGGCCTTTTTCCTTCTGTTTTAACCTGAGATCTGTCAAATAAGAGTTTCAGCTTTCCACCCAAGGCAGGCAGGCAGCCTCATCTGAACAGCACCAAAATGCAAAGCAGCCCTTTACCTAACAGAGATTCGATTTCACTCTCCTTTCCAGGCCTCTCGTGCTCACACACGTGGGGTTTAACCCCCACACTTCCCAGATGGGGAGGGTCACTGGGATCAGCATTTGACACGTTCCCAATGTGCTCAATGACTGCAGAATAAGCCCCTTATAAGCACTGTAGATATTTAAAAGAACCAAAAAACCACCTCAAAACAGACTGAGTCAAACACACACTGAAGAATACACACGGCCTACTTTCATTTTTATTTTTTTTTCTCCTGATGTGCAATTCCAGCTCTGGCAGCCTTTATTTTTAGAAGTGCTCCCTCAGAGAGGCTATAGCCGAGCTGCAGCAGGCAGCGAGCATGGAGGAGATCTGCCTGCTTTGAAGGCTGCCAGAGAGGTTCTGGTGGCAGCTGCTCCTCCTCAGACACTCCCCTGCTCCCCAGATGTGCAGTCCCACCTCCTCCCCCCTGCCTCCCTCACAGCTGTCAGACCACTACACGGGCAAATCCAAAAACAACCTCCCAAAGGAGGCCCACAGAGATGACCCGAGGGATGGAGCAGCTCTGCTGGGAGGAAAGGCTGGGATTGTTCAGCCTGGAGAGGAGAAGCTTTGGGGAGACCTCACTGTGACCTTCCAGGGCCTGGAGGAGCCAACGAAAAAGATGGAGACTCTCTACAAGGGCCTGGAGTGCCAGGACAAGGGAGAATGGCTTCAAACTGGAAGAATGTAGGGTTAGATGGGATATTGGGAAGGAATTGTTCCCTGGGAGGGTGGGCAGGCCCTGGCACAGGGTGCCCAGAGAAGCTGTGGCTGCCCCTGGAAGTGTCCAAGGCCAAGACAGGCAGGAGGTTTCCTGCAGAGGGATGCTCCACGTCCTGCTGCAGCACCGGGATGCTCTCCAGCCAGATGAGTGACAGGTTTGAAAAGGAGCACAACCGAGAACTCCTCGTGTTTCCAGAAAGCCCAAATATTTCCACATTGTGGCCTCAGCTCCCTGATAAGCAACTAACAAATCAGTGTACATGTTTACACTGGACATTTCAGATCTGTTAGGTAATGAGAGCTCCAAGCTGGATAAGCCCTGCTTAGATTGCTTGGAACTGGAACCGCAGAATTCCGAATTTATCGTCGTGCTATCCAAAAATAAACACATTCACTCAGCAAGGACTTGTGAGTCGTGAAAAATTATCAGAGTTGTGCTTTCCTAACTCACATTATAAAGCCTTCCCACGCAAATACAGCCCTGTTTCACTTGTATCTTCTCATCAGCTTGTATTATTTAAAACATGTGGGACATTCACACAGATGGAAAAAAAAAAAGAAAAATAGGTCAGGCTCAAAACAAAAGCCAAGCCACCCTGTTTTATTAGCAGCTTAAACATGCAGAACTGCAATTTGAAATTCCAAGGAAAGCAATGTAATGAAAACATTCTGAACACACAAATAAAATAAAAAACTACTGCAAATCGCTGCAACCTTAAATTGCCATGTTGCCAAATGCCTGAAACTAAAAAACAGAGCTGATAAGAAGGCTTCTCCAACTGATCTGAAAATGCATGGAAAGAACTGCATTGCCCAGGGATCCTATGGAGTCTGGGATATAAATCTAGGATTCTTCTAACATCAGCAGCCTGTATAACAGTCCAGCACCTGTGAAATACTACTGGGCAATGAACATTTGCAAAATCTTGTCCTTTCATTAGCAAAGATCCTACTTTCAAGTAAATTGATTCCTTTCCTTGAACTGACATTACAGACCACAGAAACGTTTATTCATATCCCTTTTATCTTCTGCACAACCCCAATATTTACTACTGGAATATGTAAAGCCCAAAGCAGTGTAAATTCAATTTATTTATTCATGCTGAATGTCCCAAACATCATTCGATTGCTGCCACCTATTGTTGTTCCAAACATGCTGCAAGGAGTTAACCCTTTATCCAGCAGCTACTGGAAATCATGCTGGAAGCACTTCTGGCTCTGCTGCTGCTAAATATGCAACTGCTGCATCTATTTGGGTGTGATAATTGTAGAAAGAATGAATAAAGTTTGGAAACTAAGGCTCATTTTATATATATATATATATATATATATACACACACACACTATTTATTACATTATTTATTTTATATCTATTTTTAAAAACTGGGTATGTTTACACACTAACATCTCCATTAATCTAAGACTAGGCTTTTCTCTCACAAGAGAAGCAAATCTGGAACACTCATTTCTCACACAGCCCATATAAAATGGTAATTTTAGGTTGCCAAAGGCCACTTAATTCTGTCTCCTCCTAAATGCACACAATGCTTCACAATGACATCATGTTCAGGCTCATCTAAGAGGTTAAAGGACACAAAAACCATCCAGTCTGGTTTAGTCTGCTGAGTTTAAGTATTAAAACAGCAACTTTGCCACTGAATGTGAAATTTAAGAGGTTATTTCAAAATATTAACTTTCCAAATATTGTGTAAGTAAGTGAAAACCGTTTTCAAAAAAACGTGGGGGGCAAAAGACCTCCTCCCTCAAACAGGAAAATGGTGAATTCTTGGAGGGGTAAACTCCCACCTCTGGCAAGTCATTTGAACTCTCCAACTCAGGCTCTTTTACACACAAATGTCAAAGGCTAATTCCAACCCTCACTAATGGATCAAAGCATCCCCTACTCCACCCAGTTGTTCTTTTGCTCCTTCTCCTCTCCTGCAGCCTTTATGCACACATTAATGCTAGCAATATCTCATCACAAGCCAATAAAAACTTCATCTGGCTTTGAACTGGGAGTAAATTATAGCCCAGTGGCTCAAGAGGGCCCTGGCACAGCTCCCCAGCCAAGCACTTCAACCCCTGGCAAAACTGCCCCAAAAAGGCATTCCAGGGAGCAGCCTCAGAGGGGGCAAGTGAAGGGAGACCACGGGGGATATGGGAGAGGTTTAAACCCATAAATGCCTCTGGTGGAGAAGCTGCCAAAGCAGGGATGTTACACCGCAGCAGAAAAGGCTACAGAGCAGAACCGTACAGGAACAGCCCAAACTCACTCCTTTAACACCCCTCATCCCAAACCACAACAGCAGCTGGGATTAACACTGCCCAGGCACATCTTTCACTTTGCTCCAGAGTCCTTCTTCTATCTAATAAGGGCCTTCCAGACCAGCAGGGAAGGCAGCTGTATTCCCAAATCCTGCCCCCTTCCCTTTAAGCTGCTCGCCCGCCGTGGCGGAGCGGCCACACCTGACCCTTGCTGGCCACACAGGAGGAAACCCTCCCCTTCCTCCAGCTCTGCACAGCTCCTGTTCCATCCCACAGCAGCAACAGGAGCCCTCTCATCCACAGTGACAGCCAGAGGGAAGTTTCCAACAGGCAGCAGGAACCTCCCCTTCCAGGAGCAGCTGGAATCACTACCGGGAATGGGCAAATATGGCTCCTGTTAGAAACGCCGGATTTTGCCCCTGGATTTGGGGGACCAGAGCATGCAAATGACTGAAAAGTGTCAGTGTGGAGGGGAGGGAACACCTATTCCTTTCAGCAGCTGTCATGAAATTGCATCTTAAATCCCAAGAGAGGTGAATCCAGGAAAAGTTCCCTTCTCTGCCAGCAAAACTCAGCTCTCTGACGTGCAACCAAAACAACGCTGATGTTGTTTAGACACACAGCGATGCACCTGACCCTCTGGAAATCTGAAACAGATCTGAAACTGCACCCTGTTCAGGCTCTGAAACACCCTCCTCATCTATTCTTCCCCTTAGCCTAAATAAACAAGAGTGAAGACAGCCATGGCTCCAATGCCAAGGAACTCTGGGGCAGGGAGAGTCAGTGCTGCTGCCTGAGGTGCAGAATGAACAGCTGGATGGACATCTGGAAGCTGGTCCCACACAGGGAACAGGCAGAGAGGGAAAGAGAAACAGGAAGAAGGGGAGGAGAAGACAAAACTTGCTGGATTCAGATAAAAGTCAATCCTGCACTTACACAGAATCTGAAGAGAGGATGTTGTGGGAAGCATCTGACAGCTTCAGCTCCCCCAAGAGCAAGTGAAAGGAACTGTTCACCTTAATTACACCTTCTGAAGGGGAGCTGCCTGCTTTCTGGACAAGAAAGGATTTCATTACCCCAAGAAAAACAATTTGCAAAGACATCAGTGCCCTGAGAATGCCCTGAAGAAAAGGCCCTGAGATGCAGACTAGCAGAACCTCGGGAAGGCTCAAAAAAACAAAACAAACCCACTCCCACTCCTTTTCTTCAATTTTTTGTTTCTGTTTTTCTATGCTATTTCTTATTCTATTTTTATTTCTTTCACTATTAACCAGAGCACCTCAATAAGGACAGGATGGGCCAGACCCACCATTATTTTCCTGGGTAAAAGAACAGGGGAAATGGGAGCCCTCATAAAACAGCAACTAGCAGGGAAGTCCTGTTCTTACAGAAGAACACTTACCTACTTAGGCAGAAAGCTTAAAACCAGAGGTTGTAATGAAAATACTTCTCTTTAAAGAAATGCTCAAGAAAACTTGTCCAATTCAGTAACTATATGCAAGCTGCACAAAGACAAGCCCTGCTTCAGAAGTCAGAAAAAAATAAAAATAAAGATCAGATTGAAAACTGGCTCATCTGTTTAGATATTTATGCTGTCAGGGTGTTACTGGTGACACACCACATGTATGGCCCTGAAATTACCCACCTCTTATCATTCCCCACCCTGTCATGATGGAACAATTATGCAGCTCAGACTGCTGGGTGTTATTTTTTGCTTCACAAGATGCTCAAATGCTGTTTTAAATTCGACACCTGCGATTTTGAGGTCTAAACTTACTGTTCACAATGTCACCTTGCAGCTGGAGAATCTGTGGGACAGGCATGGTGAGAATTACCACATCAAACTGTTCCGGGGGCCCCGCTTTCCTGGAGACTTCCCACCTCCCATCCCGCAGGGAGATGTGAGTCACCTGCTGCTCATAGGACACATCTGCACCTGCATGGAAAAAGCAGCAGCTAAATACATGTAGCAGTGAATTCCACAGGGAAAATGAAGAGAGAGAGTTATTTACAAGGGATGGAATGACAGGACAAGGGGGAATGGCTTCCCACTGCCAGAAGGCAGGAACATAGCTAATTATTTACAAGATTAGGGTTTAAAAAAAACAGCTGATTAAAAAAAAAAAATTAATATAATTGCATGAAAGAACCAAACAACTCTCACAGCTCAAACTTTTCTAAGCAGGATTAAATTTGTCACTGAACTGTACATATGACACCTAAGGTAGTAGTCAGAAAGTTTAGACTCCTTTTCCAAAGGACTCTCCACCCAGCAGGCTCACATCCTTTCTCCAAAAGACAGCTCACCCCTCTGCCCCCAGTGACACAGCAGATACTCTGTTTGTATAGAGACTTTTATACCTGCAGGACTCAGAAATTCACTGAGCTCACGGACACGTTTATCCACCCAAGCAATTTCCAGACACACATAAACCAAAAAGGAACTTTAACATCCTCATCAGGGATTTAAATCTGAAAGACTGTTGGAAGGCACCAACAAAAACACAACCATTAAAACTTTCCCCTCCATACAAAGGCATTACCTGACTGTTCTAAATAGTACTTGACGACCGAGGAGATGCCCTGGGGTGCCACGTAATTTCGGGAGCCTTCTCTCACCACCATTCCTTCCACGGGAGCGGTCAGTGGCTTCAGGATGCCTTGAGACACAAGCTCCTCATAGAAGCTTGAAAGGAAAAAACACACAGGGATGAAAACTCGCTCAGTTTCCCATAATCAAAGTTAAGACCAGCCCGACTTTCGAATTTTACCAGGCTGCATTTCAAGGCAGGTTACGCACAAACGCAGCAATAAAAGAACAAACTACCTTGCTATTGCATTGGGCCTGGCCTTTTACCTGACAGCAAGGCTACCTGTGATGGAACTGCCAGCAGCATGACCCGGAGGCAGAGGAATACACGGCAGCTCCCTCCAGCTCTGAACACCGGCACAAACTTCAGAACCACTGCGGAGTGCAGGAATACTCCAGACACCGAACACAGGTGCCCGAAACGCACCTGCCTTTCGCTGCTTCCCAGGCAAATCTTGCATTTTCACACCGCTGCTACACCTCCATCCCCTTCCCCAAGGTACGTTGAGCTACCCGGGCATCTTTCATCCCAACCCATGAAGTTCCCGGCTTTCACCCTTCCACTGTCCCCCGCGATCCCGCTGGTGGGGCAGCGAGCGAGCGGCTGCGGGGCTCCGGGTCTTGGTGGGGGGTTAAAGCACGGCACCTCTGCATGCTGCGGGGTCCCTGCTGTCCCCACGCCGGGCCACCAACCCCTGGCACCCCGCGCTTCCCACGAGTCTCCTACATGTAGAAGCAGGTGGGAAAGCATCACCTGCGGGATGGGCGGGATGGGCGGCGGGGTGCGGGAGCCGAAGCGCTGGGGCGGGACGGGGCGGGACGGGGCGGGAAGGGGCGGGAAGGGGAGGGAAGGGGCGGGAAGGG